AGCAGGAAGACTTTTAGACTTTTTATGCTCTCGATGAGACGTCGCGCCGCCATTTTTAGTTGACTGATCAGCCAGATGCTCGGATGAAACACTCGGTAGGGGAGGAGGAACGAACAACTTACTGCCTGCGCTGTTGCCATCTTTTTCTAAAGTATGACTAGGAAGGGGTAATGGAGGCGGAGGGGGAGGTGGTGGGCTGTCGTTATTTGTCCTCTGCTTTTCACTCAAATGCGTCAGGAGAGTATTTGCAGCCGTATTAAGAAGATTATTTATCTTTTTCATAGGAGACTTGTCATCAAGAGCATCCGGAAGAACCATCTTTTCTGATGCACCTTGTGTGGAGTTAATTCTATTCAGACTGTCAGTTGGAAGTCCAGCTTGACTCATCAAAGTCTCCAATAAGTTACTGGGAGGTGCTTCGCATGATGACGGATCAGCAAACGATGGCTGTTGGGGAGAAGGTAACGCGTTTTGGTCGGAAGGCTGAAAATGGGTTTCTGCTAAATCCGATTGCGGCCTCTGTTGGAACTGCTGTGGTACAGATGAGACTGAAGGCGAAATTGGGGGAGCGATAGGAGGAGGTTGTGGGAAGGGTATGAATGGAGGTGGCGGTGGAGCCGAGTAGGCACAAGAAAGGTGGGGTGGCAGCGGAGGAGGTGGGGGTGGCTGAGTTATCAAACTACCAAACGCCATATTAACAGGAGGCATGAGCGGGTTAACCATGCCTCCCATCGCCAGAATTTGTGACCGAGAAACAGTAACAGGAAAACGATTAGCTTGGGCCCCTTGAAAAGCCGTATTGAGGGCAGGCCGTTGGGGGATGAATGAAGCACTCATTTCTCGTGGATAAAAATTTTGAGCAGGAAAAACCCCTTGGAAAGGAGCGCCAGCTGGAGTAAAAGGGTTAGGTAAGAACTGAGCACTTCCATTAGGCTGAACAGCAGGTGGGGTTGGTCTGTTCAAAAAACGTTGATTAGGTTGTTGCCAGTTTGCAAAGTCAGGGGCTTGGGGTTGTGGTGGCGGCGGTGGACGATTCCTTAACATAAGTGCAACTGCAAGCCCTGGAGGCATGTTATCTGATTGTTCGAAGGACAAGCCCGCCTCGGATGTGTTTGGCAATGACTGATTTTCAGGCGGATGGTCTTCCGTAATGTCTGGCGTATTCGGCTCCTCCATGTCATTTGAACCATCCCAAACAGGCTCAGTAGACTCTTGGGGAGGATTATCGGTTGCAGTCTGGGGAATCGACTGTCTAGGGCTAGGTCTTTGATGCTGGAAAAAGTGAGAGTCGGTCTCACGGTTTCGTTCCCAACGCGACTTAGAGTTATCTGCTTGCGATATTTGGTCGTTACGAGTCCGACTAGAAGATCGAGATCTATTCTCTTTACGTTTTTCTCTCCCATGCTGAGTTCTACGGCTGCGAGAGGGCGTGCGCGAGCGGCGGTGACGTCGGTCTCTGGAGCGGGAACGCGACCGACGGCGACCATGCGAGTGACGTCTGTGTGAGCGGGAAGAAGAACGTCTCCTAGAACGCTTTTCAGGACTTTTACTAACTTTACGCTTTTTTGTTGGAGTACGACTGCGGTTGCGCGAAGTCCTAGATGTGGAC